TTTTAATCTCATGGTTCTAATCCATGAACCAAACGGGCTCTATAAATAGGATTTTTGGGGTTATTTTTGTAGAAAGTAGTCGACCCTTGTATTTAGTTAGAAATTTATTTATTTTCTTATAATAGATTTCAGTTTCTATATTTTTAGTTTCTGTTTTCCTTAATTAGATTTTGTAGTTTCCGGTTTTCCTATTTTGATGGAATTCCTAATTTTCAGGGATTCTATTTCCCTTTCTCTGTGGACTGGTTTGCCAGCCACCCTAGCCTATATATTAGATTGTATATCATTATTTTCTGAATAAGAATAATCGGAATTATTTTATTGATTTCTTCATGGTATCAGAACCCTAGGTTTCTGAACCCTAATCCGTTCCAAACATCTCTTTCCCCTGCCGTACTCTCATCACGACAACATACGGCATGGCATCACAATCTTCTTCCTCGGAAGTCACTTCGAGATCCGAGCCTAATTCTTCAGCCCCTATCGTCCCCGATGCTTCTTCTCATCTTGTCACAAATCATAAACTTCATGGCCATAATTTTCTTCAATGGTCACAGTCCGTTTTTATGTACATCTGCGGCAGAGGGAATGATGAACATCTCACAAGCGAAATCTCTGCTCCAGAAACGACAGATCCTAAATATCGGGCCTGGAAAACAGATGATCACTTGGTTATGTCATGGCTAATAAATTCCATGACCACGGACGTTGGAGAAAACTTTCTATTCTACAGGACAGCCAAGGAGATATGGGAGGCTGCACGTTAAACGTATTCCAGCATTGAGAATTCCTCAGAGTTATTTGATATTGAGACCAGATTATATGACCTACGACAGGGAGAATCGAGTGTTACTCAATATTTCAACACTCTCACACGCTGTTGGCTGCAATTGGATATGTACGAGATTTATTCTTGGAAATGCCCTGATGACTCTGCCTTGCATAGGAAGATTGTTGAACAAAAAAGGACCATCAGATTTCTGCTTGGCCTCAATAAAGACCTAGACGAAGTCAGGGGGAGAATCATGGGCATTAAATCTCTTCCAACTATTTGGGAGGCCTTTGCAGAAGTTCGTAGAGAGAAGAGCATAAAGAAACTGATGATGACAGACAACCACACTCCACCCGTTTCCGAAGGGTCAACCTTGTACACTCACAATTCCTCTCAAAATAATAATACTAGAAGGAGAAGACCAACCGAGCATATAGAGGACACTATGCAGACCCGTGACTGTCAAGAACCAGAATCAAGTCCTCTTGCATCCGATAATCACAATGGTATGAATTTCGTATCTCATGACTCTATTGTGCCAGTGATTGATGACTCTAATCAGCCAATTGCCCACAGGAAAGGTGTTCGAGGGTGCACTGGTCATCCAATCGAAAGACATGTAGCTTATGGGAAGTTGCTACCATCTTACAGGCCTTTTGTGTCCAACCTTGATAGTGTGCAGATTCCTAATTCCATCCAAGAGGCTCTAAAGGTTCCAGCATGGAAACAAGCAGTTGAGGAAGAAATTCGGGCTCTAGAAAGGAATGACACATGGACCCTTACAGAATTACCTCATGGAAAAAATCCTGTAGGCTGCAAGTGGACATTCACGGTCAAGTACAAAGCAAATGGAAGGTCGAAAGATTCAAAGCCAGACTTGTAGCAAAGGGCTTTCACGCAGTCATATGGGATAGACTACCAGGAAACTTTCGCACCCGTTGCCAAGCTCAATACTGTTCGGGTCCTACTCTCTCTTGCAGTGAATCAAGATTGGCCTCTATACCAACTTGATGTCAAAAATGCCTTCTTGAATGGAGACCTTAAAGAAGAAGTCTACATGACTATACCTCTGGGCTTGGAAAATAGTTCAAACAGCAGGTTGGTTTGTAAGTTGAAATCCTTATATGGCTTGAAACAATCTCCTCGTGCTTGGTTTGACAGGTTTTGCCAGAACTGTGATTACAAATGGATACCATCAATGTCAAGCTGATCATACACTGTTTGTTAAATCCATTTCTGGAGGCAAGATAGCTATTCTCATAGTATATGTAGACGATATCATATTGACAGGTGATGATTCAGAGGAAATTATTAGACTCAAAAAGATGCTTGCAACAGAATTTGAGATCAAGGATCTCGGGACTCTCAGATACATTCGGAGGGAATTGTAATATCCCAAAGAAAGTACATCTTAGACTTGTTAAGCGAAACTGGCTTTCTTGGGTGTAAACCTGCTAACACACCCATGGATCCCAAGAAAAAGCCAAACAGAAATGAAGAAAGTAATCCAGTTGACAAGGGAAGATATTAGAGACTTGTGGGCAAACTAATCTACCTATCATACACAAGACCTGATATTGCCTACTCAGTCAGTGTAGTGAGCCAGCACATGAATAATCCGAGTGAGGATCATTTGGAAGCAGTGAACAGAATTTTGAGATATTTGAAGATGACTCCTGGACATGGTTTGCTCTTCAAAAATTCTAAAAAACGTGAGGTTGAGATATACACAGATGCTACTGGGCAGGAGAATTAACTGATAGAAGGTCAACCACTGGTTACTGTTCATACGTCTGGGGAAATCTCGTCACTTGGAGAAGCAAAAAACAAGTTGTTGTCTCTCGGAGTAGTGCAGAATCAGAATATCGTGCTCTTGCACTAGGAATATGTGAAGGAATGTGGCTTCAAAGGCTATTAAGGGAGCTTAAGGTTGAGACGAGGGGCGCAGTCAAGATGTTTAGTGACAGTCAGGCAGCTATTAGCATCGCTAAAAATCCTGTGCATCATGACAGAACAAAACATATCGAGATTGATCGACACTTCATCTCAGAGAAGGTCAACAACGGGATTGTGCAGCTAAGCTATGTTTCAACAAGACTTCAAATTGCTGACATTCTCACCAAAGCACTACCAAGGGTGAATTGAACTCCAAGCTTGGTTTGTATAATATATACAACCCAGCTTAAGGGGGAGTGTAGAAAGTAGTCGACCCTTGTATTTAGTTAGAAATTTATTTATTTTCTTATAATAGATTTCAGTTTCTATATATTTAGTTTCTGTTTTCCTTAATTAGATTTTGTAGTTTCCGGTTTTCCTATTTTGATGGAATTCCTGATTTTCAGGGATTCTATTTCCCTTTTTCTGTGGACTGGTTTGCCAGCCACCCTAGCCTATATATTAGGTTGTATATCGTTATTTTCTGAATAAGAATAATCGGAATTATTCCATTGATTTCTTCATTTTCTAGGATCTTTTGGCTAAGAAAAGGAGAGAAGACGACTCTACGAAGGAGAGGAGGATTTGTTCAAGAACGGAGTTCAACTTTGAATTCGCCAAACAGTTTTATTCTTTCCTGAATTTCTTATGTTAATTATTATTATCATTATGTTTTTTTTCAATTATGCTCTAAATTTCAAGACTAGGACTATAAGTGTAGCCAAGACATGAATATTTGATTCCATTTATTTTCTTTCAATGAAGTTTATTCACTAAGAGTTTTCCATTCATGAATGTGTTTTTTTTTTTATTGTTCTTAATGCTTTCAATAAACTGATCACTTATTGAATTGAATTGAAAACCTAAATTGAAACCCTAGAAGGAGATTTTTAGGAATAGTTTCTAATAAAAAGAACCGTAAGGTGCGTAAAACATTGAGAGATAGTAATACGACTTGCGAGAGCAATTTTAGAAAAATCAAAGAACTTAATGAATTTCTAGGATGGTGGAATTCGCATCTAGCGATAGTAAATTTACATGTTAGAAATATTTTTAGTAGCATCCCCAGAATGACTATTAGATAAATTAGGATTTTTCGTTCTACTACATGAATAGGAGGCGATGTTAACAAATAATTGGAATTAAATAGGAATTGTCTTGGTGAAACTTGTATGCTCTAGTGTTTTCTTTGCATTTATCTCTTTTCATAATTATTTTGCGTATAATTTGTGTTAATTTATTTTGCTTTCTTTTCAGTTTTAATCTTTTACAGAGATTTTATTTGTCTAGATATAGTTCAAAATATCAATTTCAGTAATTGTTCAGCTAGTCTCCGTGGGAACGATATCTTATTCACTCATTATATTACTTGTGCAATTCATACGCTTGCGAAAAATCACATCAAATCATGATTCAGAATCAGGGACGAATACAGAAAATAAACATCTTCTAAGAGCTTGGTTCATGGGTTCAAATCACCATAATTCAATTTTTTAGAATTTTTGTGAGAGAAAACACTATAACAGAATTTTTTAAATTAAAATTTTTATGAGAGCAAACATTGTAGCAGAATTCAAAACCGGGGTTCAAACCCCTCTGCCAAACATGCCCTAAAGAAAGGAAGGTGATCCTTGAGGTTGAAGAAAACCTAGGAGTACACTATACAGAAACCTGAAAGTAAAATTAAACCAAATCAAAAGGTTATCCATAAGTCTAGAGTTGCAAAACTTCGGTTAGTAAGCCAAAGATGATTAAGGATGCTTGCTTGCAAAACTTTCGATCAACGTCCGAGACAGTAATTATCCTCACAAGTCACGATAAGTTCTATACTATTTTGCTTTTGCTTTACAACTCTTCAGTTGCCATTTTAAGCACATATTAGTCATTTGACTGTTAGTGACTGCAACATGTCTCTATATTTGAAGTTCATTATGACAATTAGATCATTCAAAGCATAAATAAAATAGTTATTAAACAACAATAATAGGATATTGTAAGTCAAATAAAGTTTTAATAGTTTTAATTCCTCAGTCAAACAGATTTAAGTGAACTGCTCGTCAAGTTGAGCCGAAGTTGATCAAGAGTGGCTCAGCTATTAGCGTGGCCAGCAAGCTGGACACTTCCAAGCTCAAGGCATATGCAATGAGCTTGAAAGAGACTACAGTAAGATAAACATTACTATGTGAGGAGTTCACCTTAATCCCTAAAATTAAAGCCATTTTAGATAATTCAAGTTATTGTGACTCGGTTCATATAGAATTTATCTCACAATAAATCAATACGCATTGCTTACTCTTTTTTAAGCCAACGGGCTTTGCTTGCAAAAGAGCATTCACGAATGCACCAATATTCTCACGAATATACTCCTCTGAATAGCTCACCTGAATTATTACAGAACAAGAATAATAGTAAGTTATAAATCAAATGGATAAAAAGGAAAAGGCCGTTAAGTGCACAAAATTGTTTCCGGCAAACAGATTTTGGAACTGCCAAAAAAAAAAAAAAAGAAGAAATAAACTCTTTAGAAGTAGATAATGGTACCTTCCCAACTCCCACATGGACGATTGATGTTTTGTCCATTCTAAATTCAATGTGACCTTGTTTTACTTTGTTCAGTGCCTCCGAAATATCATTTGTCACAGTACCTAGCTATACAATGTGTTAGTACAACCAATAAATAATTCATTACTAGTCAGCTAGAGATCATAATCAAATAAGATAATGTACATAAAACTCACTTTACGGTCAGGCCAAAGACCACGCTCTCTGAGAATCCTCGAAATCTGTAAACAGAAAAGATGCATGATACATCAAATAAGAGTCAAAATTCCAAATAAAAACTAACACCACCACTAAAATTCACAAACCTTTCCCATACGCAGGATCATTTCAGTTGTTGCAAAACACTTGTCAACATTGAGCTTGTTACTGCCTGCAGAGATTAAAGCTCAGGTTATGAATCTGAAACCTAAATTGTTCACATTGAAAGCTTTCAGTTCCATTAAATAGGGCATACATAGAAGGGATGTCAAAGTAAGAACGTCTTACAACCTACTGCCACAACATAAAATACAAGTGATCATCTAAGTGATCAGAAATATTTTTCCTGGCACAATATCTAATTGCATAATAGAAACAAGTATGGTTCAGTACTAGCAATTTCTTCCATAAGTTCAACTCCACCAACAATATCAGCTCCTGCTGCTCTAGCTTCATCTGCATGTTTCCCTTCAGCAAAAACTGCAACCCTCACAACCTGCAAAAAAGACAAGTTTTATGTGACCGGCTACAACATAACAGATTAAAAGTTAGAACTATGTGATCGTGAAAGAATTTAAATAATACCTTCCCGCTTCCATGAGGTAGAGCCATGCTACCACGAACTCCCTTTCCCTGAAGATCAATTAGATAGCACCACATGTAACTATTTAACAAACATATAAATTATACACAATACTCAACAGAACGCACACGCAAAGTAAGTAGAGGACCAAACGCAAATAGTAAAGCTGCTATTACTGGATAAAATCAAAAGATTTAAACTAACTTAAGAAAATCCGATATCATTATAAAAGAGTTCAGTAAGAAAATAGAGAGATAAAACTGCAGATTCCTTGGACAAGCCATGTCTAGAAAAATATGCCCATATTGTAATATTAATATGGGTAAACAATCTTAAGAAAATATGATCATCAACAGCCTGAAATAATTGTTTAAACAACTCATCACGTCGAGAAGTCATCTTGTGAAAAAATTTTATGGCACCAAATTATCTGGAATCCAAATTTGACAAGTATTGATAATACAAATGATAATCTCACAGCTTCGCCATGATTAGAAAAATTCTCAAACTTTGAGAAACTAAACTCATACCTAGAGGCCGTATAATTCATCTATCAAACTCCATTACACAGGAAAAAGATAAAGAAACTTGAATCTAAAGAAGAATTTACACAGAAGAACTGACTTCTTACCACTCGCTTCGCATCAACACCCAATTTTACATGTGCTTCAACTGTTTCATCAAAATTGCACTTGGCACTAGCCTGAAAGCTAGAAAACAACATAAAGAGATCAGCAATGAGAAATCTAGGGCAAAGATCAACATCCAATTTGAGAACAATCAGGCAATTATCTTAACAATCAAAAGGAACAAACTTTTATCAAAGTAACTCGATTTTATTTACATTTTCTCGGAAACCAAAATAACTGGAATAAACTTTACACTGACCTTGACTTGCCGAATTGCCTCCATCAAATCAAGAATAGGCTTCCTCTCATTCTTCTCGACCTTAATCAGCGTCGGGAAGGGAACCACCAGTTTCTCCTCCCCCGCCGTCTCCAGCGCAGCCCTAGAAAATGAGGGTCTCCTCCTCGGCAGAGTAGCCCTCTCGATCCGCCGCTTCTCCTCACTCTCGCTTGCGGTGGCGTCTGAGGCCGGAGAGCCCCTGTCCTCCGGCAGCGGCGCGACGCGCGTCGGGTAAGAGACTGGAGCGATTGACGGCGCGTCCTTGACGAACCGGACGTCCTCGCGGGTCCAGGTGGACCGGACTTCCTCGCCCGCCGAGTCGCGCGGCCCGCGAAGCCGTTGGGCAGCCTCGGGAGGCGGTGGCGGAGACTCCTCGGAGGGCGGCGGGGAGTGTTCTTTGGGTTTGACGACGTAGGAGACCGGTTGTATTGGAACGGAGCCGGCAGATCTTCTCGGAAATGAATCTTTTGCAGGGGAAGAATTGGGGTCTGATTCGGAGGAGAGGAGTCTGTGGAAAGAGAGAGATAGAGGAGGGCGGAGATGAAAGGGAGGTGCAGAGAGGCAATGGCGGCGAGCCTCTGAGAGAAGCCTGAGCCTGAGGGCTGCCATGGAAACCAGGGAAATGCGTTTGGTGAAAGAGTCGGCCAGTGAGTGATGAGGGGGTTTATGAGGTTTAAGGCCACGCGAGGCTTTCGACAAAGAAATGGAGCTCCGGTTCATTTAGGTCCGTTCACTTCGTTGATTCGAGTTTATAATTCGAGTTGAGATGTAATTTTATGTGAGAATTTTTTACTGTAATAAAAAAGTTAAATGTGACTGTTTCTGAGAACTTTTTACTGTAACAAAACTCAAATTCTAAACTTAAATCGACGAAATAAACGAGACCTTACTATTCTCTCCAGTAGTGTAACCGTAGAACACATTCTTTTGGGATAAAATTATTTTATTACATAATTGTAGCAGAGAGATGCTATAAGTATCCTATATCTTTTTAATATTAAACCAATACGTTTTTAAAAACAATTTCTTAGAAGTTTATTTTTAAGACATAATGTCTAAAAAGTTATCCTTTTTATTTCTTTTGAGTGAGAAAATTTTATGACTAAATTAACAAATCATATAAATAGACGCAAATGACTGATAATTCGACTCCGGATATAGACTAGATTCACCAATGAAGACTGTTGGAGTCAGGTAGATTTGGTGGGTACGACGTGTACAAAGTATGTACGTGCAAGTATCGAATTTAGTGGTGTCGATACTGACGAAGATAGAGCCGGTAATATGGGTCACGACACGACAACACGACTAAAAAATGACACGAATTTTGCTGGTTCCCGAATCGAATTCGGGTGCGGAAGCGTGGGGATGAAAAACAGCGGATCGTGTATAACAAAATTTTTCATAAAACTTTTGAGATACTCTATAGATTATATTAATTTATGCACGAATAAATTAATCACATTAATTTACATCATTCAAGGATCAACCGAAAAATACTTGGAAGCCGACTCGGATGATAACTTGAATTTCTTTGACCACGAACAGTCCTTGCTCCAAGCTTTGTGTTTAGAATACCAAAGTCTTCCACGTCAATTCCTTGATTCCACGTAGACGTGTGTGTGGGCACACATGAGACAAAATAGGTTTCTTAAACACTCGAATTTCCACAAACACCAACGCATGCACGATGTGGAATTTTTGGAGAAAAATATTTTGTTCTCTTTTTCCTCTATGAGAATTTCGGCCACACTCAATTAGGGCTGAATAATGTCTCAAAAATT